CATTTTCAAGAGAAAACTGAAGGCTTAAAACTGCTGGATAAGAAGAAGGTTGAGCTTTTGGCATATAGGTTGAGGTTTATAGCACATGGGGAAGGTGCATATTCTTTCATTCCCTCTTGCAGGCTAAGTTGGATGTGACTTGATATTTTTGTGGGGGGTGAAGGAGGCTTAGGGCTTGTCTACGCTACCTGCTGGATCGTCAGGCAGCGATCGATCCAGCAGGGGTAAATTTATCGCATCTAGTATAGACACGATAAATCGACCGCTGAGCGCTCTCCCGTCGACTCCGGTACTCCATCAGAACGAGGAGAGCAAGCGGAGTTGACGGGAGAGTGTCAGCTGTCGATTTAGTGCAGTGAAGACACTGCAATAAGTAGATCTAACTACGTTGACTTCAGCTATGCTATTCACATAGCTGAAGTTGCGCATCTTAGATCGACCCCATGCGATAGTGTAGACAAGCCCTTGGACTCCTATTTCCCCATCCCAGCTTCCCTGCTAGGAATTCCAACAATAGATAAGCACTATACTTGTAGGTTTCTGCTAAAATGATCGGCAATGAAATAATTAATGTTGCTATTTAAATTATACCTAGATTTCAGAGTTAACAACCTATTAAGATGATTGGGGTAGTTCAACCTCTCTTATCCTGACTGCTTCAGGTGATCTCTCTGCACATTCAGGTAGACAACATTTCTTGTTAACATTTGGAAGGTTATCTTTGTTGGAAATAATTTACTTAAGGCTTGGAAATTCCCTTTCCCTCCCCCACATTTTAAAGCAAAAGCTCAGATTCTGTGGCATATTTCATGTACCTGGGCATGGGGCCTTGTTTCTATTGCATCTAGTATGAGGCGCTTTATGGACAAGTAATTAGACATGGGACCTGCCCCAAAGACTTACATTCTAAGTTCTATCACAATGGATCTGGCTATCTGTATGCGTAAAAGTCTGATCTGCTCACTTTTTCCTATTTGTACTCCTGTTGTCACTGCAGAAGCAACACAGCTAAGAAAATATGCTATATACTAATCTAATTCAAATATGAACAGAATTATTAGCTAAGTACCCACTACAAAGCCAGATTCTGCCATAAGCTAACACCTGTGAAACTGCTTTGTGGGTACACTGATTATGCTGGACATTGTACAAACAATCCCTATCCCGGAGGGTTTGCAATCTAAAGACAAACAGCTGAAGAGCAGGGGATGGGGATACAACTAGGGTGACCAGATGTCCCGATTTTATAGGGACAGTCCCAATTTTTGGGTCTTTTTCTTATATAGGCTCCTATTACCCCCCACCCCTGTCCCAATTTTTCACATTTACTGTATGGTCACGCTAGATACAACATACTGTACTAGCAAATGAACATGGTGATGAATTGGGACAGCTCTGTTAGTAATGTGTATTGTAAATAGTTGGATTGTTGTTTTTGTTTAAGGTAGCTAAGGGCATAATTTGACTTACAGAATCTATTGCTGATGTTGCATGAGCCAGAAAAAAAGTCTATTTGGTTATCAAATCCAGGTGGCATATCAAAATCAGCTGGTAGAGAAAAAAAGTTTTTATGGTAAACTTAGCGAATTGAATGCTGAAGTCATTGAGAAAAACATGAAAAATTACAATTGGGGCTGGTCAAGACTTTTCTTTCAAAATCATTTTTTGACAGAACTTGTTTTTTTGACTAGACAATTTTTCACAAGGTGTCTACTTGCCATAGAAAATTGACTTTGGTTCAAAAAAATGAATTTACAAAAACTGAAAATTTTTGATTAAGAAATGCTGCCACAGTACCTCATGGGAATTGTAGTTCAGGTTCCTCATGTCCCCATTCTTTTCTGTGGGATGGGTTCCCCAGCTGGACTACATCTCCAATGATACACCATGATTAAGTTCTAATTGCACACAAAGTCTGCCTCACTTACACCTATATAACTCCAAATTCTGTAACTGATAGAATTTGAATATAATAGCATGTAACTGAAGGCCAAATATGGTCTGAAGAATGGTGGTGATACAGGACCCATAAGCTACAGAACTATAATGTTCTCAAAGTTCCCTTCCCCAACCACATTAAAGTGATAAATATTTACAAACTAACTTCCGATTACAATTTTTTGCCTGTGAATAGTATATACTGGGGTACTGGTATGTAGATTTTGGTGAAACCACTAATGTATGAATAGTGAAACCAATGGAATTTCTTAAAAGGTCATTGGGAAGTGCTCAGACCAGTACCCACTCATGCCAGAGTCCCCATGTCTCAACGGAACACTAACAACTACATATCTGGAATCAGTCTGGCTCACTTGTGGGCTAGAATTGTTAAAATAGATATTAGAATTATAAGAATGTGTTTAGACTTTATTTAATGCTTGTGGGTTGCTGCATGCATTAATCTCACTTATAACATCTGTATCCCATACTGTCAGGTAATGTTTGAGTGGCTGTATTGTAAGCCTCAGTGACTGTGCAAATCACCAGATAGGAGAGAGATGTTAATTACTGTGAAGGGCTTATCATCAAGAAAATGTATTACGTCCTTCCCAACAGGCAAGGTCAATCGACACCAGACAAACTATTGTGGCATGTTAAAAAGGACAAAAGATGTTGTTCTGCTCTCCCCTCGCCTGTCTGCCGTGAAGATGATTCATGCTAGTGGATTCCTCCTATCAGCTGAGTTTGCAACTCAGAGCACATGGAAAGAGTGGGATAAAAATTCCTAACAAGGAGGAGCTGATTATCTATATGCTGCTTGAATTCTGGGGTGGGGGTGGGAGGCAAAGTGTTTCTAGGTAAAAGCAAAAGATCCCCAGCTGCTTAGCCTGGGTTAGCCCTAAAGGACATACAAAATTTGCTGATTACAGAAACTTGTATTATATTTTGAAACTTAGGATCGTAACTCATTTGTGTATATGTTTACCTGCTTTAACCTTGTAAATAACTCTGGTTTCTTCTTCCTATTTTATAAATCTTTATATAGTCTGGCTACAGCGTTGTCTTTGGTGTGAGAGCTAAGCTGCAATTGATGTGGGGTAAGTGACTGGTCCTTTGGGACTTGGAGTAACCTGAATATTTCTGTGATTCTTGGTGTAAGGGACCATCTATCACAAAAGTAGGCTCACCTGGGTGGTGAGACAGATCAGAGTAACAGAGGGCAATATCTGTGACTCCATATTAAGGCTATTATTGTGCCTGAGTAGTTTATATTTGGTAATCTGTAGATGAAATCTAAGCATAGAACTCAAAACTAATTTGGGGTTTGTGCCTTGGTTCCTAACAGTCTGCCTGAGGCTGGCAATAATATTCTTGAATCACTACAGGCAGCATTACAGTCATGTCCCTTCAATGGAACTAATTTAGAATCTGTAAGGTGACCAATGAACTTTCCCCAATAAAGGGCATTAAGAAACAAGGGAAACAAGGAAAACTAGCTTGAAGGGAAGGTGTAATTATATTAGGAATAGTTTTTAAAATAAAGCCTTTACTATGAGACCTGGTTGATGATAAAAGCTGTTGAACTGTATGAATTACAGGAATGTTGGTGTCTGGGGAAAAGAGTCAGTAGGATTTGCCTTTGTTATGGAGATAAGTGGCCTTTCCAGTACTGGAGTGCAGTAAGAAAATTAAACATGTAAAATTCCAATGGCTTTTCAGTCTTCAATACTGTAGCTAAGCTGTGTAGGCTATGGAACTTAAAGAAATCATAGTTCAGCTGCTCAGAAATACAACCTGACGTTAAGCCAGTTGTGAAATTTAAATATAAATTGCTTCCTTGGCTATCTAAGAACATTTGTCCATCTAGATGGGAGTGATTGCATACAAAAAACAAATCAATGAGTCATAAAACAGTACACTCAAAAGCTGTTACAGCAGTTGAATGATAAGCATGGTCTGGGGTTGATCTGAAATAGCATAGCCAATAACAAATATTGGTGACTGCTTCAGATGAGAGAGAGAAAAATAAATCACGGGCCTGCTGATAAAGCTGAACAATTCATCACATTTCCGACATCGTAAAATCTTGCTTTACAATGAAGTTGAGTAAAAACTTCTACCACTTATATAAAATTGTAAACAGCCAGAATCATGCACCTCTCTATATGCTGTGTTTCTGCCTTTCAGGCTATTGGCTAGGAGCTGTTAAAGCTTAAAGAGAACATATAAAAAAAATTGTTTGACAATTCCAACCTACACCCTAGGTTATTAACACTGATATGGCTATAAAATACTTCACCATTTATGCTGTTTGTTTATATTTTTCCATTTCAGTTGGGACAGTACAATAGGCTGGAGGGTTTCAGTTGTTTATAGTAACAATTTCTGGATTATTAGCATTCAAACATTAAAGCATGAGAGAAATGGGGGAAATGTATGGATTCCCTGCTTATACATATTTAAGACATAGTGTTCTGTCTGAAATTGCAGTGTAAGGTAATTTAGTAAATGATCTTCATGCATGAAACATTCTAGGCTATATCTGGTAAAACAATGAAGTAGCCAGCCAGAAAAAGGTACAGGGTATGCAAAAAAGAGAGGTCAATATAAGAGCAAAGGTATGGATTAAACACAGACTATAGCTGTCAGAAAAACTGATGTGGAAACCCTGCCCACAGCCAGAGCAGCAAAGCTATCTGCAAAATCAGAATGGCATACAATCTTAAGTGTGTTGCCCTTAGGCGGAAAGAATATACTGTTTTTTCCCTCTCAGAGAGAACAGAATTTATCCTAAGATAGTAGTTCAATAAAACACATTTGCCAGGAGCAATTACAGCACTACGAGCTAGTCCTATTTCCCCCCCAACCCATTTTTGCCAAAATATCATCTGCTTTGTTTGAAAATCTTCGTCTTGACACGTGGAGTTGGGATTTCACAGCATGGTATATTATGCAAAATATATTAACATTGCTGCAGGGTCTCGGTGAACTGAGAACGTACCAGGAAGCTATTTCGTATTGTTTTAGTTGGGGGATTTGGAAACCCGAGAAGAATAAATAACTCTTTCATTACAAGTGTTTGTTTTTTTTAATTTATATCTATTGTTTAAGATGTTCTATTTTTGCTAATTTGGGACAGGCATATCAATTCTTCAATAATGCAGATCTTACTGAGAAGCACTGATTTGGCTTGAATACCCACTGGAGTTATTGACATTTACCAAAAATGCAATTTCAGAAGGGGTTGGAAATACAGGATTTTTTTTTTTTACATGTTTAAAAACAAAAGCTATTCAATGCAGAGCTGTCAAAATGCTTAGGGAGACATCCTGACACTAAAATAAATTCTCTTCTTGTATACTATGCCACTTAAAGCTAAATGATAAAGAGGTTTCCTTGAATAATGAAGCAATTCTAAAACTTTAAAGGTTTGTAGAGAGAGCCCATCTAAAAAGCTTTACAATGCTTGGCGGAAGTCAGCCCTTCCTAGGTATCTGTATACAAGTAAAAGCATATTTACTCTTTTTGGAATACTAGATATAGCCTTTATTTTATGGTGATATCATCTGGAATTACAGGTGCTGACCTGGATTTCTGGTGGAGATAGAACAACACTAGAATAAACTTGCTGAAAAAATAGTCAGTGAGAAAGCATTTAATTTTCCCCAGTATAAAACCTGAAAATTCTTTGAACACCATTAACAGAAACATTCTCACTGGATATTGAATAAAGACTTTTTTTTTGCAGCAGCTGTCATGAACTTGCACAGCTATTGTTTTTAAACTGAAAAGATAGCTTTTTAAAATCAATCATCACTTACTTGATTGTCGTATTCGTTATCCTTAATGACTAAATATCTCAATAGATTTAGTGAGGCCATAATCCTATGAATTAGAAATGTACAATTCATCACTTGGAGTGCAGATTTACATTAAATTTGACAGTAATTTAATTTGTTTAAGAACCACACATCCTGAAAAAACACCAACTGGTATAAAACACAGCAGCCCATCTGTTTAGTAATACAGGTCAACCTAGTGCATCTCTCTGCACTGGCTTCCCATTGACTAGAATCTAATTCAAAGGCTCTGTGTTGATATTCAAAGCCCTCCATGGGATGGCCCAATGAAACCTTCCCACAAGAAGGGCATAAGCAAAAGAAAAAGGAAGCACTATCCTTCTCCTCCTTCCTACTCTCCTAATGGGCTTGAACACTCTTGAAGCAAGCAGTTTTTCTCCAAATTCCTCTGGAATTGAACGTCTCAGTACTGACTACCTTGACTCCTCTCGGGTTCAGATTCCAGTAACACCTTCAAGGCCTGAAAAGGGATCTGCTGTTGAGACTACTGGCAATCATTCGTGCTTTTCTACTGCTTGATTACCTATACCAATTTCTCTAGTCACAATCCAGAATCACCTTGGGGTACCTTTGACCCCTTCAGAGCTGAATCTGGAAGATGACCTGCTTAAATCTTGAGACTCAGTCAACTTCCCTCACCTCAGACCCAGAAATTATGGAAGGATCTCATAGAGGGTCCTCTTCAGCAGTCCATGTGGCCCTATGTACAGGACTCCATGAAAGCCCTCTAGGAGGCGGAGATACCAGCTCTGGCACAGACTTCAGTACCAGTATCCGTTCCAACATGGTGCCCTCCCTCAGCAGTGATACCCTCATAGGTATCTATTCCTCATCTGGTGCCAACACAAGCCTTCCTTTCCAGCAATGATACCAGCACTGCCAGACCTGTCTCTAGTTGAGAAATGGGATGAGACTCCTTCAGAGGACCCATATGAGTCCCCTTTGGAGAACTTATGTAGCTCTTCACCTTCCTGGGAAGAAGAACATGAAGGCAGACTTGCTCAGCAAAAGGCTTCCAGATCAACATAAGTGCTGCTTGAAACCAGTGAGGGTGAGCCCAAGTATTTCACAGATGGAGGCAACCAGAATAGACCACTGTGTGTCAAACAAACACCAAATGCCAAGTACACACAAAGACAAAAGTCCTCTTAGATGTGTTCCTACTATGTGTCTCCCTCCAATTCCCCTGATACCAAGTGTTATAAAGATCAGGTTGGACAGAGCCAACATCTTATTAATAGCCTCAATGGGACCTCATAGTCACTGGCAGCCACATCTTCTGCAGCTGGCCAGAGAACCACTGTACTTGTTGCCTCGGCTTCCAAACCTCCTATCTCAACCGTAAGGAAGGATTCTGCATTCGAACCCAGAGACATTCCACTTGCAGCCTGGAGGATAACCTGCTGACTAACATGAGGGTTCACACCATTCTCTTACAATCCACCAAGGGCTCCACCCTGCTATAAACAAAACTGGAAACTGTTTTCTATCTGGGACACTAGTAAATAAGTGACTCCATCCTGAGCTTGGGCCCATGCAATCCTAGAGTACTTTATAAACTTTAAGTCTCAGGACTTAGGCTTAGCCTCCCTAAAGGACCATATGGCAGCAATATCTGCTCATCACAATTACATTAAGGAGAATCTTATCTTCCATGCTAAGGTCTCCAGATTTCTTAAGGACATGGTAACTAAATTCTCCCAATTAGGGAGCCCCTGCCTTTATGGGACCTAAATCTTGACCCAACAAAGCTGACAGGCCCTCATTATGAGCTTCTTGGGCAAGTCCCTCTCACACGCTTAGTGATTAAAACAGCCTTCCTAATAGCAATTACATCTGCTAGGAGGGTGGGTGAGTGATCTTAGTGCTTTGAACATTCCACCTTATACTCTGGTCCACAAGGACAAAGTCACCATGAAGCCCCATACCAGTTTCATGCTTAAGGTGGTCTCAGATTTCCACCTATCTCCATGTATTTCCCTCCTCATGTTCTTCTCCAGACCTCATTCCTACCCTTGGGAAGTCCACCTAGATGTAAAGCCCACTCAGTTTTTACCTGGAAAAGACCAAACTCTTTAGAAAACCCCTTAAGTTATCTGCAATATAAGAAAAGAGATGCCAGGGAGAACCCACTACAGAACAGATACTCACATACAGTTATGTCCCACCTAGGAAAACCCCTGGTTTAAAGACCCATTCTGCAAGAGTCACCACAGCATCAGTAGCGTGCCTTAGGCAGGTTCCTCTGGTAGAGATAAGCAAAGCGGCAATTTGGGAGTTATGTGCTAGACCCACTCCTTCAACTGAGCATCGTGCTCTGATGGCCAGTTTGGGAAAGCTGACTCCAGTCCATATTTAGCTAAGAACTCCATGTCCACCCTCCACCTCCTGGAGCACTCCTTATTAGTTTATCACAAATGGGAAAACACAGACTCTCTCGAAGAAAAAAAGGTTACATTTGTTCTTCAAGAATTATCTCTCTGCACTCACACTACCTGCCCAACTTCCCCTCTGTCTCAGATTTCTATATAATGTCTGAGGTTAGGGAGAAGAAATTGAGACTGCTGGGGGATGGTGCACTTCCTTATATACAGTAGGGCAATGACATCACCCTCACACGAGCTCTCTTGTGTTGAAGGAGCATCGTTCAAGGTTGTTCTGCAGCTCGATGCCAGGGCATCACATCTCAGAAAAGGGCTAGCATAGAGGTGACACTTGAAGAACAACAGTTACTAGTAAGTAACCTCTTATTGTTAGTTTCAACTTAATACAGTCATGACATTTTCTACAGCAATGCTGCACTCCACTGAAAGGAAAGTGTCATAGGAGGACACTGCCCCTTTAAAGAAGGAAGAGGCCAGTACACCTGTGACTAGTCAGCTGACTCCAATTAGGCTTAAAAGAGGGTGCCCAGGCCCTACGGGGAAGGTCCCTGAAGGAAAAGCCAAGGAAGAGCTGTGTGAGGGGAAACTGAAAAAGTCAGAAGGGCCAGGTGAGAGTTGCCTAAGCACAGAAGAAAGACAGGAGCAGCAGAGAGTTGTTTGAGGGAAAGAGCTCAAGGAGAGCAGTAACCATGAGCTGCTGGTGATGAGTTCTCAGGAAAACTGTTGAGGATGGGCTAGAGCTGGGGAACCCTGCTGAGTTGCAAGAAGGCTTGTGCAGTAGCCCCTAGGAAGATGGGAAGGACCAGCGTGGTCAGTGAAAGCTAGGATCAGAAACAAGGGAGGGACGATTCCTTGAGCAGGACAGGGTGGGACTTACAGGCCAGGAGGCCTGAGGAGCATAGCACTGCAGGGAGACCTTGGCAGAAGAGTCAAGTGGAGGGCTGTTGGCGGAGCCCAAGAACAAAAGATTGTTCCTAGAGGGAGGTTTCTCTGAACAGGGGTAGGATTCACAAGGAAGGAGGCCTGGTGGAGTAAAGCACTGCAGGGAGCCCTCTTGCAGGAGACCTGACTTGGGAGCTACTGGAAAAGACTTGAGAGTTCCAAGACCTGCTTTTCACCCACAGGTAGATGGCCTGGAGAGTGGGGCCCTGGAACAGGGGTTAAAGGAACTGAGGAAGAGTAGTTAATGCCTCTCAGATGACTAGGGAAGAGAGACCTTTAAAGGGGATTGAAGAGCTGCTTCATTGTAACCTTGTTTTACTTTGGGATTTTGAGAAGAAATGTTTTACTAGCAGGTGTCTGACTTTTTATATCAACAAAAGGGTTTGAATTTGCCACTAAAGGAGACAATATTCCTTTGCATGGATGGATTCCAAGGTGAAACTGAGATAGACGTGCATCACAGGGAGGAACTAGTTTATTTAACTAATAATTTCCATCTCTGATTCTAAAATTCTGAGACAAACTGATACTCTCCTCCTAGATTAAGTGCAACTAAGCAAGTGACTGCTGCATATTTTGTCATTAAATAAAAATATAGGCAATCTTCAAATAAATATATATATATATTATATATATTACACATACACACACACACACATACATACATATACACATACACACACACACAGATTTAGATTTACTCCAGTTCGGATTACATCTCACCTATCTGAGTTTTGAAGAAGATCTGTTTCAGCCCCTTCAGGAAGCAACAGCACTAAATCTAGAAGAGAAACCAGCTGGGGTCCAGTAAACCACTTACTGTCATTTGCTTTCTGAAAAGCAACAGAGAAAAAGAGAGAAAAAGTTTAAATTCACACTTTGCTTAATCATCTAGTATAACAATATGGCCACTGGGCAGTGTCTGAAAATGAGGAAATCATTTTACGGAAAAAAGATGTATACAGATGACCATAAAATGATCAAAATATACTAATCTTCTCAAGATCAGACATTTCCACTCCAAGCTATCCATTCTATTCTTATCTGAACCATCAGACTCTCTTCCCAGCCCCACCTAACCGCACCATTCTTTGAGTCTGTTAATATGATCTTTAAATCAACTGGCTCAGCTACTGTTGAGCAATGTTAGGCACTCTCTCCATCACATGGTTCAAGTATGCTGCTATTGCAGGATTTATAGCTCCTAACAAATTAAGCTGGGGACTAGGACCAGGAATCAAACCCATATCTCCTACATGACTGGAACAGCACTAGGCCAGACCGAGAAACTCTTTAAATTAAAAGCAAAGAGACATTAATGCAATGTTACAACTGAGATTTTAAATACATAAACCAGAAATTCAAAGTTATGGTTCCTATGAAACTAACTTGACCCCCCCTTGCACAAAGTATTTTGTCTTATTATATTTAATACAAATTTTACTGTGTGTAATGTGGCAGCCTTACGGGTGGGTATGAATTGCTTTGAATTTTTTTTTATTTTTTTTTGTAGCAGAGACTAACTTATAATATTGAAGTAACCTCAATTTAATACCCTTATTTGGATTTTTTTTTAAAGAAAAAAAAAGCGGGGGGGAGGAGAATGTGCCAGTGAGTTTGACTATGCATAGTCAAACCACACTTAATTTAAATGTTATGCACCAGAATCGTAACAGTAGTAATTACAGGCACTGGGGCCCCAACAGAGGCCACCAGACCTTCTAGAATTCTTCATGCCCTCTTAAGGTAGGTGAGTAATACAAGGGTGGGAATAGTTGATGGGAGGGATCTTTCAGTACTTGTATGGCTCCCACCAGCAATGTAGAATGCAAGTACTTCACAACATTAATGAACATTTTTTCCCAACATCTGGGCGAGGTACAAAAGTATTATCACCATTTTACAGATGGGAAACACAGGCATAGAGAGCAAAAGAAAAGTTTTCAAACCTGGGAGCCTAAAGGTAGGTTCCTAAACCTATATTTAGACACAAAGCTAATAGTGGCCTATCTCAGAAGTGCCAAGCACCAGCAAATTCCACTGAAGTAAATGGGAACAGCAGGTCATCCGCACCGTTGAAAAAATCAGGCCATTTTTAGTTTAGGCACCTTCACTGGAAAACTTTGGCCTAAGCAACTTGCACAAGATACCACAAAAAGTCTGTGGCAGAGTCAGGAACTGAACCCAGATCCCCTGAGCCCAGTCCAGTATCTCAACCAAAAGAGCATCTTTTCTCTGTCCTTTGGATAAAGAACTATGTGATGATATCCCAATATCATTTCCCAGTAAGGAAAATAACATATGTTTGAGACGAAGCATGAGAAACTGCTGCACAAAAGGTAATTTTAGGAGAACAGCTTGGAATGAAACCGTCATCTCAATCATACATTATCTTACTACTGCTGTGACGCTATAATGAAGTGTCCTGTCACTGCATGTGTGTAGGACAGAGAGAAGTGGTTAATTATTCTGGTGGACATTAACACCACACACAAGTAAAATTAGAAGGATATCTACCAACAAAGTCCCAATTCAGGAAGTCAGGACAACAATGTCAATGGGATGTAAGCATGTACGGAAGTGTTTTCCTAAATCAGGGCCAGAAGAGTGATCTTTAGAAAGCTGGGTGTGCATACCATCATTGTAGTGGTAGCATCACCTGCTAAGATTGCCCAACACCTCCCATTATCAGACCTTGTTTTCAGATACTTATATAACTTTGCCAAACTGTAACCATTTGGGCTAAAATAGTTCCAGGCTGGGTATTTCCTTTTTTTAATTTCAACTGAAGCAGTTCAGCAGCTTCCAAGAAGACAGCTAGGGAAAAATACGTTTTGCCCATGTTAAAAAAAAAAAAAATACTGGTAACCTCTTCTTTGAAAAACTAATGCGCTCCTGTTTTGGAGCAGCCGCTACAAAGAAAGTCAGACTTCACCCCTGTAAACAAAATAGTATGTAGTTGTGTAATTATAGACTGTATGATAATGCATAACCCTAAGGAGGACAAATTAAGGTTGCACAGGCAACTTTAATTCTTGCATTTCTTAACTTTAAATATGCAAGCTCAAGCACTCAAATCTCCTTTTAACACAGTATTTTCACATGTAATATATAAATAATGTGGTACCTAAACTATATGAATTCTTTAAAAATGGTATTGAAAGCACTTTTTAAAGTAGGAACTTATAATATTCTCACCTTTAATGATAAATCAATCTGATTTTTGATATTTTGAATAACATAGCCTTCTACGCCAGCGTGGTTGCTTGTCTTCAATAAACACCTTTAAAAGTAAAATAGAGAGACAGTATCTTTGCATTATATTTCGTTGAAAAATCTAGATGAAATTCTGGCCTTATAGAAATAAATGGGTTTTGCCCCCTTACTTCAAGGGGGCCAGAATTTCACCCCTAATCTTTGGAGTTCACAAAAGGGCTGGCTTCAGTGTCTTGTGTTTTAGTAACATGAAAACTAAAATCAATTGCCATCATCATGAAATTAACATGGTAGCTCCTATGTGAGCTCCTATGATTTCTGACTGAATTACTAGGCAATTAAATTGCATCAAGACCTGTTTCTCTGCATTTTATGCAGGATGCATACCTGAACAAGGTGTATTTTCCCTCTGCATCAAACTTGTCTATATACAACTGCAATATCTTCAAACTCTTCTTTCGCTAAAAGAAAAAGATTCTATGAAGACATTTGCATTTAATTAAAATAAAACAAATTTAGCACTTGTAACCCCCGGAATGATGAAATTACGTACCAAATGCTCTATAGGACAAAGGGTCATCACTTTCACCAAACCCTGCAGTTGGAAAAAAGTGAAAAAACAAAGTTTGGTTGCTCCCCTTGGAAGGCTGTTCCAGAACTTCACTCCTCTGATGGTTAGAAACCTTCGTCTAATTACAAGCCTAAACTTGCTGATGGCCAGTTTATATCCATTTGTTCTTGTGTCCACATTCTTAGTGGATGTTGGTAAGGAGTAGAATCCGACAGAGCTTTATAATGGGAATGGACTGATATCTAGTATTGATTTATACAAAGCTATATAAAGATCACTAAATTTAACATGGATACTAAAATAGAGTGGTCAAGACTTCATGGATGAACTATTCTGAAAATATTCTTGATAGATTAGGCTTAGAAGCAGAGTATGAAATTTAAAAAGTATAAGGTGATGCATTTGCAAAGAAACAATAGTTTAAATGTCATTGAATTAACTGCTGTGGTCAGTGGAGAAAGCATGCATGTATTAATAGACCTGATGTTGGAATTCTCAGTCCAGCGTGCAACAAATGTGAAGGAGGACAACAAAATACTGATTTCTATCAACACAAATATAACCTCTAATATTGTGTGCTCTCACTTTGGTTAGACTAAATATGGTGTAATTTTAATATGTATTTGTAGAATATGATGTAGGTAAAAATGCAACCAATGGGACTTAGGTTCTTATTTATAAGAAGAGTGACAATTGAGATTGTTTCACAAGAGAGAAGACTTAAGAAATGGTAATGTTGTATTTAAACTAGCCATGGATCATTTTAATTTAAGAGTGACATATTTGCAATTGAGTTGATCTATTGAACTATGGGTCTTTGGTTTAACACTGAAGGGAATACATATTTTATTTAGAGGGTAGCGAACTGGTGGAATGGCCTTCTTGCACTCCTCTGGCATAAAATTGTTTTTTAAATTTAAAAAAAAACTTCAAGTTAAATGTTTAAAAAGCTTCACTACATAGGAAGGCATCAAACAATTTCAGACACAAGGGTACCTGTCTTGCTTCCAATCCTTCACAAATTTATAGCAAATTAAAATGCAGAAATCTGAATTCATCACCAAAATTTTATATATAAAAATGGCACTGCACATTTGCATTAACAATGTTCACCCTTCTATCTGGGATGAGACTTTGACTAAGCTAGGAGCACAGGAGACCACTTTTGTTGGGAGTGTGGAGAGGGGAGAACAGATGAGGCAGTGTTTCATACGCCCCTTTTTTTTCCCTTTGGTGGGTGAAAGTCATTGCTTAACTCTTCTTTTCCCTTCCTCTTCCCCAGCCTGCATAATGTGTGTAGGGGAGAGGAAAGGGACAGGGACATGAGCATCACATGTTGCACCTGAATCCAATCTCTGGGGCTCATCCTGCCCACCACTATCGCCACTGGATGGCGATGGGATATGGGGATGCTGTTCAGTGGTGAAAAAAGGGGGTGATAAAGTTTGCTTCCCAGGTGGGTAACCATTGCAGGCTCTCTATTCCAGATAACAATTCTTAATAGCAAGACACTGTATGGTTTCAAAAACAATTAAGTTTCTTTATTCTCTAAGTTCTTCTCTCTCAAATCACCTAGGGAACAGCTAGATAGCTCAGTGGTTTGAGCATTGGCCTGCTAAACCCAGGGTTGTGAGCTCAATCCTTGAGGAGGCCAGTTAGGGATCTGAGGCAAAAATCTGTCTGGGGATTGGCCCTGCTTTGAGCAGGGGGTTGGACTAAATGACCTCCTGAGATCCCTTCCAGCCCTGATATTCTATGATTCTAGACATGACATGGCACTTTAAGTAAAAATACTTGTTTACATTGCATCCTAATACCTGAGGTGCTGTAATGAAGCCTTTGAATTCCAAATACTGATGATGAAGGCTATTATCACTCATTCTCAATAAACAGTTTCCAAGCAGGTCCTACAAGCAATAAAAAATAATTTTAAAGACAACGTAACTTTGCACTTGTACAGTACTTTAATCCAAGGTCCTCAAATGACTTCACAAACTAAGGCCGCAATCCAGCAAATGTTTATGCACATATTTAAGATTTAATCATATGCATAAAGTTAAACAAATATGTAACATGCTTTCAGGATTGGGGCTTATCTGATTAAGCCTCAATAACTAAAATTATAGTATGCAATATTACCCTCATCTTTTACAGACAAGGGAAATTAAGATTGTACCATAACATAGATTACAAAGAATATTTAGTATTTGATTTAAAAAAACAAAACAAAAACTTACAAGTCCCTTAGTTAACACAGATTCTTCTGTCCTACAAGAAATTAAGACAATTATCAGTTTCAAAGTATGAATTCAAAAACGTTTTGTTGATGTTTAAGAATTAACCAAGTAGTACAGGATCTATCTAAAAATGAGCTCAGCTACTAACAGTTCCTATTCTGCTTCCTGTCGTCATTCCTTCAACTGAATTATTTAACTATATTGAGCAGAAGAGTTTGTAGATTTGACTCCTTTTGAGATCAAGAGCTGATATTTCCATTCTATATTTATGAGTGTTCAAAGGCAAGATCTCAAGTCCCTGAGACGCCCCGGTATTAAAAGGAAGAAAATGGTACTTTCCCAACTGCAGAACTCTGCAAACTTTTTCCAAACATGAGTGGAAGAGAGTGAATCCTAATCTAAAGAGGCTAAAAAGTTTAGGCCAAGTTGTAGCAAGGCACAGTGGAGTGGTGATAACCTATGAAACACTCATGCTTGTAGAGTAGTACTTGGACTTAATCTTTGTAGACTGCAGACAATAATGGGGCAAATGACTACAACATCTGAGTAGGTCTGGTGTTCTATTTATTGAGGGCCACAATACAGATGAAGATAGCATACTATCATAGGATACAGTCAAATATTTCCACGGCAACCTCACTTCATTCTCCACTGTGTAATTTAGTTACAGAAGTACTACTAAATATTCAAATTCAGAAAATTGGAATGTTTAAAATGTTCTTAGTTTGGGTTTCCATAAATAAATAAAACACAGTTGTGAAATGAATACTGTAAAACATATTCAAAAATTTAAGAGCATATCACAAAAAGTATGTGTTTAGGACAACTTTTTACAACTCTTTGGAGGGAAGGGGCATCATCTTGTGCTGAGTTGTGCCATATTAACACTCAGCTTCAAAAGAGTTTTCCCCACAATTTGAATTGTGAATTCAAAGTTTGCTTTCATAAATTACTACCACAGATCAGAAAGCAATTGTCAGACAATTAAGACAGACAAGCAAGAAACAAATCCAGTATTTGAAACTCCAAATTTTGTATGATCTTACCTTTCCAATAGGACCTCAATGTGTGTCATGTTGCACTGCAGAAGATATGATGGACTAAAACAGAAAAATTATTTATAAATACAATTCCGTAGACCACACAGCCTACATGTTGATATAAAAATAAGCTCTGTGGAACTATATATAGGAATAGTAACTATTTCATAAAATTAAGAGCAATTTTAGGATAAATGGATACCTTTGAAATAGATGTGTGCTAAATAGATTGTCGTCCTCCCCCGCAACACTCCCACACTTGTTTATCACCACACTAGGTCCCAATCCTGCAAACACTTACGTGCTTAATTTTAAACATATAAATAGTCCCCTGGCTCCTTCTGTGAGACAACTTGTGTCTAAAATTAAGCACACACATAAGTATCTGCAGACTTGGGGCCTAAAAGAGAAAACACCTCTGCACACATACCATTTATTACATGACAGTTGCCCTGAAATGAATGCTAATGCAACACAAAGGCTTACAAAATAATTAGTGATTAATATTAAAAGGTTTTCGTCTGCTCCTGAAAATGCCTTTAAAGAACCTCAACAAATCAGCCACTAATAATAAATGGATGGAAAATAGCTCTTACCTAAAGACCATTGGAAAACAATCAATACCAAAATACTGAACAAACACCAGATATGACAGACATGCCAAAGAATCTGCAGAATGCTTTCTATCTACATCCAAAAAATCCAGATTATCCCAGTTCTGATTTCTGCTTCCACGGTGTGAAAACAATGTTGGTAACAATTCTTTTATATCCAATAAAATGCCCTGTTTATTAAAAAGAAAAAAAAAGTCAACTATATATAGCTGCTTTATAAAAGGAAATACAGATATAAAGTTTTAAATTAGGATTCACATTTTAAATGGTATATAGTAAAATCTCTACCTACCATATATACCATCATTCCTGAAAATATTTTTTATAATTACACCTCTACCTTGATATAACGCTGTCCTCGGGAGCCAAAAAATCTTACTGAGTTATAGGTGAAACCACATTATATCGAACTTGGTTTAATCCGCCACAGTGCGCAGCCCCGCCCCCCCGGACCGCTGCTTTACCGTGTTATATCCAAATTCGTGTTATATCGGGGTAGAGGTGTAGGTGTACACCAAAACTACATTTAAGGAAATTATTAAGATGGCAAAGTGAAGCACTCAAAGGTTAGGAAATGCCTGAATTAATATTGCCTGTGCAATCTTGATTTGGCCACCATGTGTGTATACACTATGATACAGTATTTAATTACATGATCACAAACTCTTTTTTCCGACAAACCTTTGCCTCATCTTTAGTGCACAGAATGGATGATGCTCACATAATGACCAGCTATGCAGTATTTTGTTTTCTCTTCATTGTTCAAAGTTCAATCCCAGACCTTATTTGCTACACAGTATTCAAACCCTGCTCTGAAGACACAGTTATTAATTTCCTTATGGGCTTTTTTTATTGGGCTTACTATCACAATATCTGAGTGCTTCACAAACAATTTTCACAACACCTCTTTGAAGTGAGCAAGCATTAACCCCATTTTACACATTGGTACTGAGACACGGAAAGTAAGGTCAAAAATAGCCACTATTTTGGGTGCTCACTTTGAGACATCTAAGACCTGATTTTTTCATAGTATTGTCATTATATAGTATGTCATACGTTCAAAGCACAGCTCCCATTGAGTTCAACTGCAGCTGTGAGTGTTCAGCAGTTCTGCAAATCAGATCCCATGGGCTCAAAATCCCTGAAAATGAGGAACATGCTACCTGTACAAAGGTGGAGAGTTGGGTCCCCAGTATCATGGGAAAACTCTGAGCAGAAGCAGTGACAAAATCCAATTCTCCAAGGCAGTATTCAACTGTCTTAACCATGAGACTGTCCTTTCTTTTCCTAAAATCCCCTGCCTCATTCATTACACACTTTGCAACAAATGAAGTAGAGATTCAACACATGAAGCAGGGATTCAACACATGAAGCAATGTTACAAGCCCTTCCTATACCAGTAGCTGTTGTCAAAAGAACTGAAGTCTAACGCCCAAAACATGACTTTGCTTTTTGCACAGCTATTATTGAGATAGGGGACAAGCGTACAATAACTGAATAGTTTTTTAGCTAAAATTTCATAGACAATTGAATACATTTGCACTGTTAACAGCAAATAGTCCATTAAGACTCAGTTATCTAGGACCTACACAAAGGGCAATCTCTCCTAATCAGGGTTGGGAACACTGGTTGTGTCATCTAATAAGCTGTTACTGCAATTCTTTACCGTGTAGATTAGCTTCCTGAAATTTCAGTTCATAGTAGAGGCCTGTGCGGGACTATTTTTAATTCCACTCCTGTCACCCCATAATACCCACTCTTATCTGCTCCCACTATTACAGCAGAGGGTCCTGCAGAACCCATGGGATCTTGGGCCCACTGCAGGGCTCTAGGTCATAGGCCCCAATTCAAGACATCACTTATGCATGTGTTTAAGAACAACTGAAGTCTTTGGGACTGAAGCATATGTTTAAAGTTAGGTTTGTGCTTAAGTGGGTGTCCTGAATAGAAAATATTCTTCACTTTATCCAAAATATGATCCAGTTAGATTTTTAAAGTGCAACCCTACGCAATGACATCAATTATTATAAAAAGGAAAGGGCTATAATAAGTAGAGGGACAAACTTGGTTCTTTTAAAAAGCCAAACACAGAATTGTATTAGTTTTGGTCATGTAAGGACCTCACCTCATTATCTCCTTTTAAAAGCCCTGATAGATTTGTACATCTATGGGGATGGGGCCAGCTGCATAAGAGCAGACGCTGCTGCTAATTCAGAGAGCAGCAGCCCAAAGAGATGTACCATGAGGGATGAATTTGGTCCAAACATTTATTGCATAACATTCTGTTGGGGCTGATCGCAAGTTGCCTTGGGCTGATGTTACAGAATGGTTTGGAAGGAGCTAGTAGTGAACTGGCTTTGACCGGCGCAGCTGGATAAACAAGTGAAGAGATAAGGAAGGCCTGAGACTGTGAAGTATGGGAATAGAAAACAGCAGTGTTTCCTGCCAGAGCCTGCTTGGGGTGAATATGCCCCCCCTTAGAAGGAGGTGATGATTAAAAGCAGCTATAAGAATTGCTTTAGACGAACAGTCTCACCTGCAGACCCTGGCCTTGTGGGTGCCCAGGAATTCCCCATGCTGCAGCAGCGCCTGCTACGAGCCCTCAAGGACAAGGTAGGGGGGTCCAGGACTGTCCGTAGCAGAAGGGGCGTAAGCATTGATTCTTGCTTGCTTGCTGGAAAGCACGTATTTAGTAATGCGTAAAGGCTGGGAGGCTTATTATACTTTGGCAATAAAACTGGTTATACTTATGCACCTGGCGTGCTTGACTTAGTGTATCCAAGCCCCCACCCTTGGGACCGAGACATTAACAGATTTTTTTTACTTTCAAAGCCAAGTTTTGTTGACCCTAAGGATCTGATATTGTTCCAAGACTTTACTTTCATCAGCACTATCTTACAGAATCCCATAAACCATCTTACTAACCAAATCAGGAAGCCAACTGATTTCTCTGACTGATTATAGTGAATACTGAATTGTAATGACTGATTTTGCAAGTCACTATAATTCATTTTAACTGCACTTACTAGAATTTCAGCTGCAAAATGCCTTAAGGGATCTTCTTCAATGTCTTCTTGCAACTGATCAAGCTGTGCTATTAATAAGGGGTATTTCAAGCTTTTCAAACAACTGAAAGAAAAAAAGATAACTATAATTAGAACCTTTTAACAAAAACACTACGAAAATCATCAATACAGAATATAATGACATTGTCTCCAGGGGGTCTGAAACTGTCATGCCCCTCACCCCTGCTGCTGCTCATGATGGATCCAAGGGGGAGTCTCCAAACTCAGGGACTGGCTCCACTTCCTGTTTTTCATCCCTATACTCTCATGGCTGGGGGCACTGCTTGGATCCTGATGCCTCCAAAGAGGGATGTCCCTCATCCTGGTGTAAATGCAAGGAAGGAGTAGGGGCCTTTGACTGGGCTTCCCACCCCCTATACAGATACTCTTCTACCACCTGCCAGCCAGGAGGGGAATGAGCGTTGCCCTTCCTTTCATAGTTCACAAATATGGAAGGGTTGATTTTTTTTTAAATAAACACATTAGTTAAACAATTTATTTGATAAACTATACAATATCAACAGTGTATTCACTGCTGGTGCATGACATTTTGATTGCTCATTTTATTTCATTACACAAGCATTATAAGCAGAAATAAGATACCCACAATTTTAGCAATTCTTCTTTGAGCTCTTCATCATCATTTTCTGTTGAGGCTTCCATATTTTTAACAACTTCATCCACAAAAGGTTTAGCAAAATCCACTACTGCATTGCAACACTGGCAGAGGCCAAGTTTATCTTCTCGTATTTGTTCTTTTGTGTAAGGTACAGGCAGGAGAGAGAGTTGATTTAAAATGGTAGACAAAGATAAACCCACTGAGTATGACTTCTTGCTATGAAGTTTCAATAGAACTGAAATAAAAAGAAAGTGTTGTTAAACATCTAGTTATCTACTATTTTCCCCCACAAATGATGTTAGAGGTGTAACATCTTAATTTCTTCTGGTTGATAACACAAAAGCTTTTTCCTGCCATAGTAGATTCAGTGTTTGAGAAAAAGCAAAGAATAAGATCTGTACTGAGTTAAGTAATTGTATTGAACAGCCTTTGGTTTAAAATCAAACAAACAAACCTGCAATACTATGAACAAGTGCAGAGACACCAGGATTCTGCACCTGTTAGTTTTGGGATGTTATAACTACCAGCAATATAGGGTTGAGTATTGCAAAGAAATATCACAACAGCATCCCATGCATTTTAATATACAACAAATCCTGCCTCTGTAAAGTGGAGGTAAATATTGAAAATTTCTCTCTTATATCACTGGCCCAAAGGGGCAAACCCTTCCTGGCCCTGAAAACATCTGTACTACCGAAGTGTTTCTAACCATGGCAGAACAAGAGACTATACCAAATGTCTGCTGAAATCTGGCCCTTTTGCACCACACTAGGACTGTTCTAATCTATGCCAGAGCCAGTGTAGCACTGGCCAAAAATCAATGTGCCACAACTAGCTCCTTTACAGACTCCTCTCTCATTTCAGCTGCACTTGGCGACACTGATCCACTGTCCATAACTCCTAACAGAAGAATTCGTTCTAATTACCAAAACGTTCCCCTTAAATTCCAACATAATTATGGCGGCCTGTATCTCGCGAACCACTAAAGTTAGGCTTGGTCTACACCAGGGGTTGGCAACCAATGGCATGTGTGCCAAAGACGGTACGTGAGCCGATTTTTAATGGCACGCTGCTGCCTGCTGGGGTCCCACTCAGCCCGCTGCCGAACCCCGGCAGCGGGCTGAGCCGGACCCCAGCAGGCAGCAGGGCTGAGCCGGACCCCGGTAGGCAGCAGTGTACCATTAAAAATCCTGCCCAACCTAGCCCACGCATCTCCACCCCCCGCCTACCACTCTCTCTGACGGGGGCAGGGGGCAGAAGCAAGCTTGGTCCTGCCGGCTGCTGCTGCAGGACAGGCTCCGCCGGCCGCCAAGCTTCCCCCTCCCCCGCCTCTTCCCCCCAGCGTGCTGTGTCAAGCCCCATCTCCTCTCCCTCCCTGCCGCCAATGGCCCTTGCGAGGGAGGGGAGAAGAGCAGCCCCAGTGCCCTCGCTGCTCAGACCGGTAAGGAGGCGGAGAAGAGGCAGGGGGAAGGAGGGTAGGAGCGGGGCGTATCCTTCCAGCCCCCTGCCGTGAGCCGCTCATGGGGCAGGGGGCTGGAACCACCCCCCTGATCCCAGCCCACCCCCCCCATCCTCTGCCCTGACCCCTGCACCCCCCTTTCACCCCAGCCCCCTGTATGCCCCTCATGACCCCATCCCTGACTCCTGCACTCCCCACACATACCCAGCCCCCCCACGCCCCATGCCCTGACTTTTGCACCCCCCACATCCCCACCCTGAGCACCAGGTTGGCAGGAGGCTGAGCGGGG